TGTGAGTGAATCAGGAGGGTATTGTGGTACAAAGGTGGCGGAAATGGGGATTGGATAGGTCTAATGATGTAATATCAATGACATTTCAAGTAATTTCTTTTATATAAAGTAGTCCCCCTTCCATTTCTTTGTACCAACCAAACACTGTGAATGCAGGGAATCAAACCAAGCATGCTATTAGGTTTTAGTTTGTTTTATTTATGCTCAAATTCTTTTAGTTATTTTATTTGGGGCTCTAAAAATAGTCCTTGGATTATTTTTGTTGCAGTCTTCTTTTTGATTATTGACATATTTCGCCATTGCACTGTCTCCAATCTCTTTCTCCCTTTATCTGTCTTGTTCTGCCCTTTTCTCCTTCTCTCTTCCCATTTCCTGCCTTGTCCTACATCACCATGGTTGCAATTAGCCTCCATAGAATTGTCAGTAGGTTTACACCCTATTATGCCTGTTTGTTTTAGAAAATCTAGTGTATTCTTTGTGAGATAGAGATGCCCTGCTTGGTTCTAGCAACTTTGAAATGAGAAAGTATCTTGAACATTTCTGTGTTTTTGACATCAAATTCATGATTTATAGTTTTTCCTGATTTCTCTGCCTCCTCAACACAATGACCATTAATGACAATGTTATCCTCCATTTTGACACATTTTCACAAATTAAGTGCCATCTGTATGGAATTGGTTGTGCCCTGATGTCTTAATAGTTGTGTTGATCTAATCAAACCATGCCCCAAGAGATTGCTTATGCCCATATTGAGTACATACTACATAGCCTGCATACATTGTCTTAGTTGTCTTCACACCCTTCCATAGTATCAAGTCTTTTAGTTCTAATATAATATTTCATTGTTATCATTTATTTGCTCTTTAGGAAGATTGACTTAGGATCAGTTTTCGATTATTTTTATTGTCAATATCTGTTATTTATTTATTATTATTTCCTTGACTTTCTCTCCTTGAATCTCAGATTGGGTTGCTATGTTTGTGGCTACTGAGCCTATATGCATCCCTTTCATATCGATTAATAACCAGAGGACTGTCTCTGCAAAGTTTCATGGTATTAGAGCTTGGGTTCAATGAATACCAGATGTCCAGTTTAGTTCAGCACAGAAAGGGGCCTTTTGTGTCGATGTTGAGAATTCCTTCTTGGCTTTGTCAGCAGTGACTCCACAAACACTAGCCAGTCCCAATAAGAAAATGACGGTGATGATGTAGATTTTTTGAAACAGCTTTGCCATAAATCCAAGAAATGGGAACATGTCCAATTCCTTCCTGGTTATGTTTTTTAGACATAAACTGAATGGTAACTACTACCTTCAGTGGTCTTCAATGGGAACATGCCAGATTCCTTCCCGCTTCTGTTATGATTTATTTCCCTTTTTAGGAAGATTGACTTAGAGGATCAGTCTTTGATTACTTTTATTCCAGATATCTGTTGTTTATTAGTTTGCCACTTTCCCTGATTTTCTCTCCTTGAATATCAGATTTTGTAGCTAAGATTGTTGCTATCAACCCCTATATATATCCTTCTCATATCAATGAATATTCTGACATCTGTAGCTCTGGAAAATTTCAGTGGGATCTCCATAAGAATCTCTTTCTCTAAGTCTTCGCTCAAGAATGCATTCTTCACGTCTAGTTTTTTAATAGACCAAGCCAAGTTTGCAGCACAGATATTATCACTTTGATTGTATTAAGTTTTGCTTCTGATGGAACTCTGTTTTTTCATATCTGAATAACTTAGGAAAAGTCTGTTATAGCCTCTTTCATAAGGAAAAGGAAGAAAAACCAGCAAAATGACCAACTAATCCTAGTTACAGTGCCGAAAAGGGAAAACAGTAAGGAAAGATGAAGAAAGTTAACCACTTCCCTGACATTAGCGAGGTCAGGACTCTTCCGTGTCACCAACGACCAGCTGCCTGCATTGCTTAGGGCACACAACCCTAGAAAACTGACTTCTGCTACTCTCCTCAGTGTCATTGGGCTGTGGGTCTCCTTTGTTTCTCGTGGCCAGGTCCAGTTCCCCATTATGCACCTTAAGCTCGTCCTTGGTTTTCCTTCTCTTGTATGTGCAGCCACCAAGGTTCTGGCCTCATCAGCTACTGACGCAGAAGTCCCTAATAATCAGTTTTCTATGTTTGTATGAATCCCTATGGTACAAGTATGCGCTTGTAACTATTAATACTACCATGTGGATTACACTTAATCTTAAAAGTCATCTTGCAACCTACTGTAGACTTCCCATATGGAAATTCCATTACATCCCATGTATTGTTTTTCTCAAAGGCATTAATTTTTCTAGGATAGCAGCTCTTCTGTCCTTCTCTTTGGCTGCCCCATAGACACTATGGAGTTTCTCAAGTCTAATATTATTGATGAATCCTTTCAAGTTATGTGACAATCTATCATATGAAATGAAGCTACCAATTGCTTGTTTAACATAGCTTTTTACTCCTTTTCCTCAAAGCAATAGGCAAAAGAAGCTCCATTTGGGATTTAGGACTTGTAGAAAGAAACCTGTTACGGCATTGCTCAAGATGTGTGTTGTTTCGAGCTTGTTCTATCCTTGTAGTATGCTGATCCATTTTGATCACATTGCCTTTCTTCCACCTAGCTTGAACCATCATATCCCTTTTTTTGGTAACATTTCAGTTGGCATGGGAACAGGCTCTTAATGTTGGCATGAGTGTTCTGTTTTGGTTTCAAGGGTGTCTAGTTTTGGGAAGTTTCAAGAGTAGTTTTATTTACACTTCCAAACAGAAATTCAGCATTTTGATTTTGAGTATTATTAATCTCCCCAAATTTTGGGTGATTGGGAGTAAGAAGGTTGAGTTAAAAAAAAAAAAAAATGGGTTCATTGTATTTGATTGCACAAAAGTTTGGCAGTTGGAGAAGATCATGTATACCCTTATGGGTAGACAAGTACCCTATGAAGATGCATTTGATGGCACAGGGATCAAATTTAGAACTTTGGTCATTGTGAGCACAAGCTATACACCTATTGAGAGGAAGGTGCACCATAATTTTTGTCGATGGCAAGCTTCAAGGAATTTCTGGTTCGGTGTCATGAACTGAACGATTTAGTTTACATCATATTGATGCAGTACATAGTTGTGAGAACAGCTTTTCTCTGCTAGGGTTCAAGCATGCTGGCTGCAAAGAGGAGAGAGCAAGTTACTCCAAGGTAGAGATTTTGTTAATTAAATTGGGACGCTAAAATCCCATGTAAGCAAAACTGAGGTGGCGTAATCTATCACAGCACAAGCAATACATTATTTTTGTCAGAAGTGACAGGGTGATTCACAGATTCCATGTTCTTATTGGGCCATGTTTGCAGTAGAGACCACACAAATTCCAGCATTGACAGTACTCTTCAGTCCGAGCCCTGAAAAAAAAAATCATCGTTTTAAAATGAGGGGCACTGTTTTGATCTTCTGTAAGTTGGTTGATGGAGAGAATAATGCAATTTAGTTGAAACCAATAGAACGTCTCTAAGTGTAAAATCTTTAGATAATCTAAGTATCTAACGGTACCCTCAGCTGCAGAATCTTCTACAATTCTGACCGTTAATTTTTCAAAGAGGGGAACAACATACAATTAGATGTACAAGAGTCAGACCGAGAATTGAGTCTTCGAATTTGAGTATGTGATAACTAATGGCATTAAATTTTACTTGATTGGGTCATAACACCCACAGTTTGATATGGCCCTTGGCCTTCAATAAGTTTCTAGAGAACCTCAAGTTGGTCCTAGTTGAACATTGTTGGTTCAAGAGAATTGGTAGCCCCCTTTTTTTTGGGGGGGGGGGGGGGGCCGCAAACCATGATATCAGAACCTTCTTGTTGCTGTCCTGGCTTGGAATTTTGAAGGTTTCAAGCTTCCAGCAAACATCCTTGATATTGACCAGTTTTATGACAACGATCGCATGAACGTCTGCCATTCTTGCAAGGTGTGGTGTTGCTGGTGTTCTTAGTGAAACAAAGCTAAAGATTTAGAATGTGACTGTTGAGTAGAACCTTCATGGGAAGCTTTTTCCATGGTGCACCTCGATAGAAAGTAGAGAAGTCTTGGTATGATTCACCAGGTGATTTAATCAAATATCATATGTGTCCATGTCAAGACCTAAAAGGAAACCATAAACCCTTCCTTGCTCCTCTATCTTGCATGTAGCAGCTTTTGTAGTGTCAGTTCATTCATCAACTTAGAGAGTTTGTGCCAAAATTTCACCAAATATATACTGTTGCACTGAGCCATAGTCGGTTCACCTGTTTTTAGATCTTTCAACTCCCCTTTGATATGAAGTAATCTAGTGTAATCCACCTTAGGTTAGGATATATGGATAGCTTCCCAAATTTCCTTAGCTATCTTGGCCAGTTCTGGGGTTGCATCACTCTCCAACGTCATGAAATTTACCAGCCAAGACGTTATCATATTGTTTTCAACAATCCATGTCTTGTTTTTGGGGGTCAATTGTAACTGGTTTTCATTGGTGAGATACTCTTCTTTTGTCTGATACACAGATGAAGCATCAATTTCTGAGACCATACAAAGACCGGTAAAATAATTTATCGCTGTTGATTCTTAAAATTACACCCCATGCTCCTTAAAGTTATAATTTAGTCTTTTCGATGTTATAATAGCAGCAAATCTAGCACATTCTTGTAACGTCAGAAATATCATGTTATAATTTAGAGATTAAAAGAGTAGATTTAAGAAGCATCAATAATGACTTTACTTCTATAGTTCTTGGGAGTGAATTTGCTTTTTGACATCCTTTCCTATAAATATTCTAAATTTTGAATCTTCAGATGTCTTTTTCCCTAGCTTATGTGCTTAGCCATTCTCAAGCAAGCATTGATATATATATATATTTTTTTAAAATTTGCAAAAAGTTTAGATAAGTTGGATGTTAGAAAGCCAGAAATGTCTATAGACAGTTGAAATATCTATCATATTTTTTTCTTGGTCTTTGCTTGTGTCCTTAACTTATTATATTCTGTGCAGCTGAGGCCTCGACTTGCTGCGAAACGTTCAAAATTTGACAGGAAAAAGGGTGGTGAATGAAGAATTTTGGGTCTGGTTTTAGTTTGAAGAGGTTTAAGTTCGGCTTTGGCCTTGTATATTGTATGTTGAGGTCCTGCAAGGCAGAATCTTTAGATAATATCCCATTTGAGAGGTCTCAGCAAATTCATAGTTAGGCTTTGTTATGGATTCAGAATAGCTTCGTAATGAATAGATCTCATTGAATAGGTCTGTAATTTGATGCTTCTGCATATTTTCTCTTTTACTAGATGCTTGTTACAACAAAAATGGAGTGCTTGTTATCAAGTTCTCCAATAAAAAATGATAGGTGAATTTTTGTATAGCTCAACATCGTGAAATTGGGTTATTCAATTTTTTTTTTCTTGTTTCACATGTTATAACTTTGTTAGAGAACCTAATACATTTTTGTTTGACATATAGAAAAAAACTTTAATTTGAAGTTCTATCATTGATACTGTGTTTTAGAGTTTTTTCTTTTTTCCTTTTCTTTTACTCCATCCCAGTTTACGTGGTCAAAATATATTAAATTAGCATGAAATTTTGATTGATTATTATGTATTAAATTATTATAAAAGCACAAGAGGTTTTATGAAAATTGATAATTAGTTCTTGCATTGCAAGCCTTTTTCTGTATTTGATTCTTAGTGAAAAACAAGAGATGAATAATACGAAGCATATAGTAATTTTTATTTTTGAGCCATCAAACATGTAGTACTTTTTTAATCACGCTTAGATTAAATAGTTTTTTTTAATTGTAATGGATTTACACAAATACCTTTTTTTAAATAAATTTACGTTATATTTTATTCATACTTTTAATTTTTCTTATAAATGCAATTTTTGGTTATATCTGAAGGGGTTGGATACTTGACCTTTTGATTAAAAATTTAAATAACTTAATGTGTGGATCGGAAAAATTTATTTCGCAAATGTCTATCCATTGTGAGAATTGATAAAATTCTTGAGATACTGTATATCTATCGTTGGCACACACAAAAAAAAGTCACCCAAAAAAAAAACAAAGAAAGAAAGAAAGAAAAGAAAAGAAAACGAAATATAAACCAATCTTGTCTAGTCTACATCTATATACCTAATAAATTTTCGGCCAAAAAAATATACCTCACAAGTTTCTAAAAAGCTATTCACATATATATAAATGAAAAAATAATAATAAAATTTTTTTCAAATATATAAATAATAATTTGTTCTCTTTAAATATTATAATTTTTCTAAAGTTTTTAGAGCTTTTTTTATTATTAATAAATTTATATAAATTATATAAATTATTAAATTATCTTTATTGAAAATAAATAATTCACAACTCACCTTCTTATATTCTCAACTTTCTTTCTTAAATTTACAATAATATAATAATAAATCAAAACTTCACATATTAAATTCTTTAATTGTTATTGTATTATTGCGAATATAAAAAAAAAATTATTAATATAAAAAGAAAAGTTATGAATTATTTATTTTTAATAAGAGTAATTTAATAATTTATATAAATTCATTAATGACAGAAAATTTTTTAAGGACTTTAAAAAAATTATAATATTTTAAAGAATTAAATTTTTATTTATATATTTTAAAAAAATTTTATTATCATTTTTCTATATAAACTGAATTTTCACATTTGATTTCTTTTGGTTTTGTGTCTTTACGATTTTTTACTTATTTTATATTTCTTTTCATTATTTTAGTACAACACATTAATTACATTGTTCACTCTTACTATTTATTTTTGTTTATTCTTTTCTCTCACTTCTTTGAATTTTCAACTTTTTCGAACAAATCAAATTTTTCGCGCAATTATTTATATTTACACCGATAGAAACAGAACATATGGAGCCAAGAAGAGTTGAATATTCCCAAATCTTTAAAAACAAAATGAAAAATTATAACCGTGATTTTTTTCAATTTTTTTAAATTATCACTAAATCGAAATAAAATGTTCATTATTTGTATCCATCTCAAAGATTTGAGCCAAAAAAATAGACCACAAAAAAGCGCAATATTCCAATTTTCAGATTTTCTGTAAAGAAAAAGTTAATAATTCGTATCTGCCCTTAGAAAGACAAGAAAAGGCACAAACTTTAGCTGCTTTTTCCGAAATCAGTAAGCCTTTAATATTAAATTATAGGATTGTTTTTACTTTTTTTTTTTCAAGTATCCATTTTTTTTTTGTGAGAATCTTATTTTATAAAAGGCTCCGTTGTTTTGTGGGATAGTCTCAAACTTTTGGATCTTGAATGAAAGCTTTTAACGGGAAAAAGTCTTTAAATGTTTGTTTCATTAAAAAATTAAAATAAAAATTCTAGAAAATTTGTTTGTGCCCAACTTTGTTTCGTATTAAATGATCATCTTAGTTAAGCTTAAAACAAGAAAAATTGATAATTAAATCTCTCTGAAATATATAAATAATAATTTGGTCCCTCAAAATATCATAATTTCATTGAAATTCTTAAAAATTTTTTCATTATTAATGAATTTATATAAATAACTAAATTGCCTTTATTGAAAATAAAAAAATTTACAAGTTTTGTTTATATAATCATAATTTTCCTTCTTATATTTGCAATAATAAAATAACAAATTATAACTTTGCATATTAAATGTTTGATTTACTATTGCATTGTTGTGAATACAAGAAAAAAAGTTATGATTATATAAACAAAACTTGTGAATCATTTTATTTTCAATAAGGATAATTTGATCATTTATATAAATTCATTAATGAAAAAAAGTTTCTAAGGACTTTAATGAAATTATAACATTTTAAGAAATCAATTGTTATTTATATATTTTAGAGAAATTTTGTTGTCATCTTCCCTTAAAACAATGGATTGAAATTAAAATGAAAAAAAAAAGACTTTTTGACTTAGTTTTAGAAGTCTTGATAATTTTATGATAACGTTAAATTTATATTGGTTTCTTTTTAAATATTCCTTTTAACAAATTAGGGGACAAGAATTTAAAAAAAAAAATCTCCACGGTAAAGTTTTCTAATGACACAAACGGTAACAAATAAATTTTTTCATGTTTATTTAAAAAAAAAAAGAATGTTTATTTTATGCCACTTAATTAATTATTTGCCATTAAGAAGATATATAATAAAAGACATCTCCCAACAAGTAAATAGTCATTTCCCCCCAAAAATTCTTATGCTTTTTTTTTTTTGCCACTTTTCTATTAAGATACCATAATTAAGACGCAACTTACCAGTTATATATATATATATATATATATATATATATATATTGCATGCAAGCAGCTCGTTAATTTCAAGGATAAATATAAATTAATGAAACAAACATGTAATTCCTTCAATCTATAAATAAAACCCAACATTTGATCCTCAACTCAAGGGCATTCCATCCACGTAACCTCTTTTTTTTTTTTGTTTTTTACACGAAAAACATTACATCAATTTGCTCAAAAAGATGAAGCAATATTCTTTTGTTTTCCTTATGCTTTTCATTATACCGATCATTTCATCAAGCCTCGTGAGATCACAAGATTCTTGTAATTCTAAAATTCTCAATGTTTCTGGCATCCCATTTGATACAAGTTCACTTCGTTGTGTTGCTGTTTGGCCAAAAGGGAATTTCATCCTTAGAGTAAGTTCACATATATATTTTTTTTTAATTTTTTATACAAAGTAATCATAATTTCATATTTCAATCGATACGATTATGTTTTGATTTGCTATATGTTATCGAGTCATATCATCTAAGTCAAACTTTAAAATGACATTGTCTCACTTAGCTCATGAGAAAATTTCTGTCACTAATTTCTATCACCAATTTGTTAGTGATAAAATTGCAAATTTCGTCACAAATTAGCAGTGAAAATTTTCTATCACAATCTGTCACTAATTTGAAAGATTAAGATACAACAAAACGATGACACATATAAAATATAACCAATATATGTCTTTTCTATTAAGCATATGTATATATATAGAGATTGAAAACTCATAAAATACCTATACAATGTATAATCTTATGATTAATTAATATGTGAGTATTATATATTGAACAGTATGCTCAGGCTTCATCAAACTTGTGGAGTTTTGTCCTCTCATACTCTAAAGACATAAATTCTTACGGAGCAATAGGGTTTTCCAAGGACGGTCGAATGGTGGGTTCAAGTGCTGTGGTGGGATGGCTCGGATTAACCGGCGTCGGTGCCGGATTGAAACAATACTACCTGGGTGGGCACAGACCAGACCAAGTTATTCCTGGCAAAGGAGACCTTCCATGGACCAAAGCAGCCATAGTTTCAGCTTCAAGATCAAATATTGCTTACATGGCCTTCCAATTGGAAACCAATAAGCCTTTACCATATTTGATATTTGCAATTGGACCTAATGGCTCCTTCCCTTCTCCTCCAAACTATTCATTGGCGTTTCACAGTCATGACCGTTCCTTCAAGATGGATTATGCATTTGGTGGTAAGTGAAGATGAACTTTAGTAGGAAAGGATATTTATTTTATATATATATATATATATATATATTTTAAATATTATAAAGTACTTTTTATTGGAGTTATCAATTAGAGCCAAGCCGTCTTTTTCAAGCCCGAAAATAGTTACGGCCAAATCATTACTTTAGAATAAAAAATGGTAAATCGGGTGTTAAAGGGCTGTCCTTTTGAGCCTTTTTATTTTTTAAAAATTTCAATTTGAAAAAAGATAAAAGTCTAAATATTTAACTAAAAGAAATAAAGACCCTAAACTCATTCCTTCCTTTTTCATTCATCTATCAAGATTTAATTGATAATACTATTAAAGTCTAATTTTTATTGATGTTAACTTTAACGTTACTATTTGATATTAGATTTGGACATTTAAGTTCTACATATTTATTGTGGTGTGAATTGACTTAATTTTTTTTTAAAACTTAATTTATATGTTTTTATAGATTTTGAAATTGAAAAAAGAAAAAAAAAGAATAAGACCAAGGCCTACAAATTTGGCCTTCCAACATTAAGGTCTAAGGCTAGGGCTCGGCCTTGCAAAATGAAACCCTAAGATATAATCAGGTTTATTAGAAGTTGTCACTTTAGGCTAGCCTTTCAAGAGCTAATCTTTTAGGGCTACATAAGCCTTAATTAATAGCTTTACTTTTAATCTAATTACACATCTAATAAGTTAGTTTATTATCTTTAAAATAGCACATTCTTATCATGTTTACCCTTATTTAACAGTGTTTTAATTAAAAAAAATTATTAATTATACTCTTAACTAAAGGCTTCTTTTGAAAAACTCTTCTTGAACCTTGAAAGATTTGAAATGTCTTGTATTTTTTTTTTGTTTGAAAAAATGTCATATAATACTAAACAAAAGGAGTATATACATCAT